TCGCCCCCACGAACTCGATGTCCGTGGGTGACTGAACCATCTGTAGCGCTAGAAGGTGGCTAGCGGTTGCCGCAGCGTTGCGGAGACCGAACGGAAACGCTGTCGGGGCGCTTCGTACGGGACCTTCTAGACATAGGGTGACGTTGTGCGAGACCTCCCTTGGTGACCGGACTCCCAGGGAGTTGCCCAGTGGGCCCTCAAGCCTAAGATGGCTGAGGTTGATGGAAGGAAGAGATGGGGCGGCAGAGTGAGTCAGCGCCAACTCTCCTTCTAGTGTGATGATGAAATCTAGGTCACCAAAACGCACGTGTGCGCCCGGGACCCAGGTGATTGCGTGGGTGGCCATCCGAGGCCTAATTTGGAACGCGCAAGCCCCCTACCTGGTGCGCCAACTATTGGTGTTTCGTACAAGCACCGGCAAGTAAATTTATAGTAATGCACGTTAGGCTCGGATGGTGCGCTAAAGGACACAAGATTTATACTGGTTTGGGCCAAAAGTCCCTACGTCCAGTTTGTTGCTGCTCGTGTTATTAGCACCATGAACGATTTGTAGTAAGGGGTACAAACGATCGAGAGAGGGACTGGTCCCAAGTCTCTGATGGAAGGGTTGAAGGGATGTCAAGAGGTTCGACACAACTTGACTGTGCATATCTGAGAGTCGTCTCGTTCGATCTTTTCTCCTCTCTCTCTATTATGGAGGAAGCGCATCCCCTTTTATAGATGAAGGGGCTGGTTTTACAAGGGTGAGGGCTTTAGGATGCGTACTCTACTTAGTCTTGTGGCTCACGTCTACCCGGCCTGGTCCTTCATTCTGATGAGTGCGAAGGAAGATAAGCGCCTACAATACTGTCGATGTCTCTGTAGAATGTCAGGTTGGTTACAGAACGCTACCCTGCGCAGGGTATGGGCCGCAGTACAGTGGTTTTGACTTTTGAGCCTCCCCCAGCCTTGCTCCGCACGCCTTCTGGTTCCTATGAGTCTTCGTCGGAGGGATGCGGGGTTGGGGTCTGGAGTAGCGCCATGGCCAAGGTCTTCTGTCTTGGTGGACCTGAGGGGTCGGGAAGCGGGCGCCGCTCCCTTGGGTCCACCGCGTGGTGACGGAATATCCGTCGTTCGTGGAGATAGCAAATCCTTTTCTCGGCGTAGTGGTTGTCGTATATCTTCGCTGGGTTCGTGTCCCAGAGCTGAAGGCGGTGCCTACAACTCTACAGGGTGGAGAGCTCGCACCTGTGACACCTTTCGGGCTCTGCGGCGCCTGGAAGGGCCTAAAGTGCTCGTCCTGTCATCCCCTGGCAAGATTTTTCCGCCAGGTGCGGTGGTATGGCTCTTGGAGCCACGGTTGACCTGAACGTCATGTCTTGCCTGCTCTCTATCATCTTGAAGGAACAGGGAGAAGTGGTCAGGTAAGATGAATCCAATCTTTAGATATGGAGCAGAGTGAGGCTTGTTCCATGCCGTCCGGGCGAGCGGAGACCAATCCCTATCTCCTGGGCGAGACCGACCCTGCTCCTCCGGGGTCAAGCGAGGTGGAGTCTATCCTCAAATTCTCGGGCGAGACCGAGCCCGCCCTAAAGGCGTCGGGCGAGACGGAGACTAGCCCTGGGCCCTCGGGCGAGACCGAGCCCACCCCAAAGGCGTCGGGCGAGGTGGAACCAAGCTCCTGTCATTCCCGTGAGGGGTGAAGCAACACTCTTATGCGTCCAGAAGTTTTTAACGTTCGGTGGTTATTGGTTCCACCTTCTGAGGTACCCCGGTATTAGGTCCCGACAGGAGGTCCAATTATTATTCTAGTCTCGCTGTTCCATCCTTTCATGCTTTCTCCCTTGTTTAGATGCATGTGTCCACTTCAATTCATATGTGTCGGAGTGGGATTGGAATGGAACTTAGTTTAATTTTACTACAATCTACTTCAAGCCATGTGGATTGAGATGAATACATGCTCATCTAAACAAAACCTTAATATTATACTCAAGGGTAAAGTGGTAGGTTTGTGAATTGTGATTTGTGAAATTATAATGTACCAGCATTTAGGGAAAAATACTTATTTGGTTGGTTGGTGTCATAGTTTGTCACGTCTAATCTTTGATAAATTGTGGTTGTTACAGAAAGTGGGCAAATAAAATCAAAGTCATACTTATAGTAAAGTTTAGTAAAAAAATGAATCTAAGACATGCGAGGTAGAATATTAAGAAAGCATAGTGTGACAAGTTATAGTCATGAACCAAATAGACCTGTAGTGTTCAGAACTGTAGCATTTGGAAGACAGTTCTTGTTGCTCATATTGCAGCTGCAGTTATCATGAGTTTGGGAAGCAACGCATGTTTCCTCCTGTGCAGGCTGCACACAGGGGAATCTCCAGAGTCTGGGAACAACAGGCTGCTAGGGTTGAAAACGGACGGAAATTTTCCCGTTCCGAACCACCCATTTTTCTACATTTGACCTGCCCGTTTCCGTATTTTCGAAAAGAGTAAATTTTACTGGCGGTCCTCGAACTTGTCCTGAGTTCTCATCTAGGTCCCAGTACTTTTAAATTGCACATTTCGCTCCCTAAACTTGTCCTAGGTTCTCGTTCAGGTCCCGATACTTTTAAATTGCGCATTTAGCTCTCTAAACTTGTCCCAAGTTCTCATACAGGTCCCGATACTTTTAAATTACACATTCAGGTCTCTAAAGTTGTATTGTTGTACCATTATGGTCCATCCACCCCTGTACCATCATCCTCACCTTCGTCAAACCGCACATGCCCGCCCTATTCGTGTAGCCATGCAACGCTGCACCATGCTTGACCTCCTACACCATGCATGCCTATGTTGCATTGTTAGTGCGGTGCTGCACCCATGTTGCCACGCTAGGCCATGTCGTGCTCGCCGCACCGCCATGCCGCGTGCTCCACTCACCCTACTGCACTACAACGACGACCTTATTATTGTCGAGGGAGGTGAGGAAGGATGGGAGTGTAGGGAACTAAGTGTGAAGAGATGGTGAGAGCATGAGCTCCTGCTCGACGAGGGACCGAAAGGAGTGCGGTGGTGGCTGTGGTGGTGTTGAATGTGATTGCTGTGAGGCAAGGGCTGATGCCACAGTGAGGTGGAGCAGGAGCAAGTCAAGCGGAATCGAGGAGGGCCATAGCGGCGAAGGCTTGGCTAGGACGTGTGGTAGGGCAAACACGACAAGGATGGCCAAGCCGCGAAGCAGGTCCTAGGAAGCTAGTTGTGCACATGAAACGCATTGTGTGGGGAGGGGATGGACCGGAATGGTACAATAATACATTTTGGGGAGTCGGTCGTGTATTTTTGAAGTACTAGGACTGGGATGAGAACTTGGGACAAGTTTAGGGAGCTAAATGCGCAATTCGGGATCTGGATGAGAACTTGAGACAAGCTTAGGGAGCTAAATGCGCAATTTAAAAGTTTCGGGACCTGGATGAGAACTCGGAACAAGTTTAGGGAGTTGAATGTGCAATTTGAAAGTACCGGGACCTTGATGAGAACTCGGGACAAGTTCGAGGACCGCCAGTGAAATTTACTCTTTCGAAAAAATTCAGAAACGGTACGGAATGTGGGACGGAGGTTTTCGGAATCGGAACGGAAACGGGAAAGATGTTTTTTCGTCCATATTTTCAGAATTCTGTATTTTGCCAGAATTTTACTGGATTTCAGCTAGGCCCATAAACTTTGTATCTTGTCCCGAAGGCCCAATACTTGTACAATACAGTCCAATCCACAAGCCTGATGGCCCATGGCAAGCCTGCTCTCTACCTGACGGCTCGGCAGCAGCAAAGCATGTGCAAGTATCATCTTTGTTCCTGCTAAGTAAGTATACCTACCTATTTATACTTTATTACTTTACACATATGCGGCCAGAAATAAGGCCCAATATTCATCTGTGCAGCCTTACTAGAAAGGGCGACAAAAACTATTGTATACATATAGATAGATGTTCTACAGTTATGATAATGGTATATTAAATTAACTAGTTTATTTTCATGTTGGATTGCATTTATGTCTTATCAAAACTATGCATATTAATGTTATCATTTATTCACGCTAACCAAAATTATGCCCCATATAATTGTTTGCATAATATTGAAGAAGGACCCTAAATCCTAATTATCGACATTACTTATGTAATCACTCTACTCAAGTTCCTGACTTAAGTATAATATTGAAGAAGGACCCTAAATCCTAATCATTTGTGAACTTTTTTTTTTTGTGATTGTGATTTGTGAGTATAAAGATGTTCGGTATTGCGGCTCAAGTTCCCGGCTTCCGACCGTTTCGGTTGAATTTCCGACCGTATTGGTTCGTTTCCGTACACCCGCATATTCCGATTCCATTTCCAAACCAGTATTTTTCGAACCCGATCCTGTTATATCGCTAAAAAATATATAAACAGAAGTAGAAATGGGGTTTATCCGTCCGTTTCTGTCCGCTGCACAGACGGGCAAGGGCAAATCACAGGTGGAACGGTGAAAGACGTTGCATTGGTCCATATCCTGGTGTTTGGTGAAAACATCGGCATCCGGATCTGCGTCTAGCACTTCGCGGTCGAAGTGATAGAACTCTATCGCGCGACCAGGCAAGTACTACATTACGGAGTTTCAAAAAAATAATACAATACGGGGCATATTTACCAAATAATACATTACGGGGCATATTTAGTAGAGCTTCGCCAAATGAAAAATGATTGTTGAGTAATTCGTAATGTGATTTGGATTGTCCAGAAGGCATCATGCGACATTACAATCAAAGACCATCGAATGCAAAACTAAATGCAATTGCACCAAGCAACCAGAATCTTCATAGCTTCGTATGGCAACATATATTAAGTCGGAAGACAACTTAACAGGACGAATCGATGACGAGAGTGAGAACGGGTCGAACCACAAATTGTACTACAAGTTTAACATCAAGGGGATACAGTAACATTGGTTTCTCAAAATAGGATAAGTCCATTATCCCATAGGTGACAAAACTAAGCCCTGAAACACATTCCTGAACTTAGGTTCGAGGAGCGGCTGCAGGGGCAGCTGCAGGTGCGGCGCCACCTGGGCGCGGTGGGCCCTGTCCTGGCCTTGGGCCGTCATCCTGTAAGGCAAGTAAACAGAACCATCAGTTTACATTTGTTTGCAAAATAAAACATTATGGCATACTGAGTATGTTTATTCACAAGTCTGGCAAACTAACAGCTATGGCGGACAGAATGGTGATAATCATAAACAAGGGACCATTCAGTCACATTTGATACTAGCCCACAAGGTATCATGTCACAAGTATTTGATTTATACAGTTGAAACTACAAAAAACATGGCACGCTATAACAAATCTTACCAACAACTGAATGTAAAGATGTGAAAGTTATATTAAATGTGTGCCTTGAAGAAGTTATGACTGAACAAGAAAATCAGTCATCACATACAAGTCTGCAGTGCACCAACAAATGTTTATTTACGCTTTCGTTGACGCATCCATTGCAATATATATACAGTGAATGCAACGCCTATAAAAGCGATAATAGCATGACAATAGCACCAAGGAATACTTTCTATTTGGAGATTAAAAAAAAATAGAACGTTTTTTCGTGTAGCACGAAGCAAGGCACTTTAGCTTTATCAAGTTCCAAAGAAACATGCAATACTACAGGAAATGGGACAAATAATGACAGGCCAAAATGTGCAAAATATATTCCAATGTGTGCATTCAAGCAGTAATGACTGAACTAAATATCAGTCATCACACATAATCAATGTTTTCAAGTCGTCCGATTAATCGCGATTAATCACGATTACTCGTCCTAATCGGTCCTGGTGTCCGATTAGGAGGTCCGACTCGATTAGCTCGACCAGAAAGCTGGTCGTCCGATTAGTCGTCCGACTAGGCCATGGACCATCAGTGTGGTTGCTCTGTTTTTTTGGGCCTGTTCAACCGGGCCTATATGTGGCCTATTGGGCTTCCAATTTGGCCTATTAGGGTTAGAATAGGCACCCCAAAACACCGGAGGCACGCAAGCATGGTGGCAAACGCAGGGCGGCTGCAATTTTTCACCACGCGCCTCCACTCTCCCACGCGCGCGTTTCCGGACTCCCGCGCGCGATTCCTCCCCTTCCCGCGCGCGATTCCCTCTCTCTCGTGAGCTATTCCCCTCCCTCGTGTGCTATTCCCCTCCCTCGCACGCTATTCTCCTCTCTGGTGAGCTGTGAAGCCAACGGCGCCCTCTGCCAGGTCAAGTGGCCGCGGTCTTCGTGATGAGCTGCTCCAACGACGGTATGTGCCTTTCCCCTCTCCATCTTCTTCCCTCCTCCCCCATCCCTCACTCTGCAGCCTCTCTGGCTCTCTGCTAGACTGCTAGGTTGCTTGCTGTGATGTACTGTTGTCCCTCTGCTATTCTCTGGTTCCAAAGGAAAGAGAAGCAATCCACTCTGCTAGACTAATCGGCCTGGTCGACGAGTAATCGCGATTAGTCGCCTGGTCGGTCCCATGGCGACTAGGTTCGACTAGACGACTTGAAAACATTGCACATAATACTGCAATGCACCAACACATGTTTATATACGCTTTCGTTGACGCATCCATTGCAATATATACACACAGTGAATGCAACGCCTATAAAAGCGACAATAACAGAGCACTAAGAGTATGTGGTCGCACAACTTTCAATAGAGTTATCAGGAAACAATCAAGTTCAGACAAAAACATAAGATACAATAGATGTGGTTATAAAGATAAGCATGTGCAAGAATTATACCCGTCGCCTGAAGCGCTGCGGGGGCTCACGGTTCCTCCTATTCTCACGAGAGCGGACACGGACAATGTGCGCATGGATTGCGCATGAGACACAGTGATGAACCTTCGCGTACAATTTGGGAAGAACATATCCTGTGCAAATGAACATAGTAAGGGCAATTTCTCTAAATAACCTATAATTAGTTTATATTAAACTAAATCATGCAAGAAATGATGTCTATAGTACCATCATGCACACAAGCCTCCTGCACATCTCTCACGGCAGCCTGCTCAACAATGTTCCTCACCAAGAACCGCTTGATAGCCTTATCCTGTAAGTACAGCAAATGTCATATATCTTTTACAATATGCACAGTTCAGGACTTAATTAAGCTATAATATTGCAATGCAAGTCAAAATATGCCTGCGCACATTGTATCTGGTTTCAATATTACCTAGCCACAGTTCATAAAATCTCTATTACGAGAGAATCAAAGCGGCAGAACATAAAACTATGGGCAACTTAGGAGTTGATTTATCGGAAGTACATGTAACAAAAAAAAAGGTATTAAAAATGTTTGTATACATCGTAATCGTGAGAGCTATCAACGTTTGTAGCAACTAAACAATGTGGCGAACGAGACCATGCAGTACTACAGGTACCAGTACTACTTTCCCTGCAGCTAACAACGGCTCGATTCATCCATCACAAACAACCACGCTCTAAGGGAAGGGAAGGTTTACCTTAGGGCAGCATTTAGCGCAGTTGGAGCAGCGGATGTACTTGACGTGGCCGCGCCCGTGCTTATTGCGTCCGCCATTCCTCCGCTTGAACGTCTGCGGCAATCAACCAACAACAAAGGTTAGACAGCAACGGCGGCGAGGAGTGACTGAGGAGGGAGATGGTCTCGGAGAGCTCACCATGGCTGGGGGAGCTCCAAGCCGCCGCTGAGGAGGGCTAGGGTTCGCTGCGTGATGCGACGGCGTCGGCTCGAGCGGGTGTGCGAGGAGGGGGCGGAGGAGGCGAAGAATCCAGGCTTTTATAGTCCACCGAGAACCCTAGTGGGCTTTTATCCTGCGGTGGTTTATTCCTGGGCCTAGTTTTGGGCCTCTAGAAGTGAGATCCAGGATAGGCCCATGAAGCAGTTGCTGCAGCCGCAGGGGAAGCAAAAGTGGCCACTCGAAATATTTGGCCCATCTACTAGATAGAACAAGAAAAGGTACTGTACGGAGTAATTTACAGCCTCATGCCTTTTTTTTTTTTTTTCTTCGTGTGTTTTTTTTCCTGTTGGCGTTCGATGAGAGGATGGTTTGCACGTGACATGTGCCACTTGAAAGAAACATCTCAAAAGAAAACCTTCTAGGTTGAAATCTGAAAACCAGTCAGAATTCAAATGAAATCCCAACCATTTCCTGTCACTGTTTAGCAAGAAGATTCCTGTAAATAACACTCGACAAGACGCGATGGCGCTCAGCTCAACGGTGACGTCAGTGAGCTGTGTGGCCAAGCACACCACGGGCACAGATTGCCCTGTCCAACGGAGAGGAACCCCCAATAATACACAGCGGTATACATGCGACGCACAGCGTATCGGAGACGGAGAGTGGCTGGTGACGCCGCACCTGCACTGAACCTCGCCTCGTGGAAATGGGAAAAGAACAAGTGCATGCGTGACTCAGAAATCACAATAAGCCTGTGCGACAGATGGTAGTAGTAGGGGAAAAAAAGGAACAAGATCGATGTCGCAGGTCCGGACAGTGACCTTCCACCAAACATATAATATTATATTATATCATCAGGTTTAAACCACAAGCAGAGGCTTATGACGCTTATAATACACTCCATTGTGCCGTGTCATCCGATCGGCCTGACCCGACAGATAAACCTTTGCTGAGAGCTCCATGTCTTTAGCTCGTGCTGCGACTATCACCAAAGCAAAAAGGCATGGCAGGATGATGGCTGCCGCTGATGTGTGACAGGAGGAGCCCAACGGCGCGGATAGAGGGGCAGGACGGGAGGTAGACGAAGACCCCCCGGCGATGGGGACGATTTGAATTGAATGTGTAAAGGCCATCGACCGTCGACGGCCCTGCGGTGTTTGTGGCCAAGTCAGCGCGGAGCGGCCGGTGGCGGCTTGTCAGCTACTGCGACGTGTGCCGCCATGTTTTCCTCGCTCGCCTTCTTTTGGGAGCACAATCGTTTTCGTTGGTCAGGCTTTGCTCGGCCCCACTATGCCTCGCTCCAAGGGTTTGGAGGCTGGCCCAGTGGGCCCTCTCGCTCGCACCTCGGCCCGGCCGGGCCGTCAGTCCGTCGCCACGTGCTGTAGCTGCCCAGGCTGATGTCTGCTGGTTCAGGTTTTATTTGTTATTTTTATTGCTTGCATTCATTCGTCAATCAGATTTTTTATAAAAAGATATAATCTCAAATGATTTGATTTGAGAAAAATCGGATGTTTTCAAAAAAGTGAGGTCCGGGAGACACTTGATTTTGATAAAGTTGAGGTCTTTTTGCAATAAACCAATGCCCATCCACCAGTAATTTGGAAATAATACGACAGAGGACGTCTCTGCGCGGGTTGATTTCAAAACTTAAAGGGGAATTTTCAGAAAACGATCGCGATGATCTCATACAACGTAGCATGTAGCATCAAATCATATCTTTAGATTTTTATTGCTTTCATTCATTCGTCAATCAGATTCATTATAAAGCTCTCAAATGATTTGTTTTGTTTAAGTAGGAGTATAAGTGAGGGGAGACACTATACCTGTAAATCCTGTGATTTAATTGTTGTGTTACTTACAGTCCACCAGTAATGACAGTTCTGTTTACCTGCAAATTAAACAAACCTTAGTTAGATGCTCACGCATACATGTAGCATCGCCATCATATCATATACTACGTACGTGTGCCACAAAATGAGTACCATGTAATAATAATATAAGGTAGTAGCAGTATCTCAAGGCCCTATACTTCTGACCAAAAATCGCCGGTAGCTATGACAAGTGGCGAGTAATCTAACTTCCAAGTGGTGGCTGTAGACCTAAACTCCAAATTTGAGCATGCTTTTAACAAGAATCGGTGCTCATTTAGCTAGGCCACCAGTAACATGGCTAGGCTACTAGGTTTGGGCATAGACCTCTAGATTCGGTGGTCGTTGTTTTGCTCGTGGAGAGTTTGGTAAGAAATAGCCATGTTAGACTTTCTTCGTCGTAGCACTGACGATGATGGCTCCTGCACCCACCACATCTTTCACGCATCATCGTCCTAGCCCCCCATCATCATATTAAAATGTGCGGTATCATCCGTGCTTCCACTGTCACGGAATTTCAGCACGCAGACGCAGGTGGACCATCGCGATCGTGTGGAGATCGCATGCACACGGGACGTATCTTCAACTCTCGCGTATACATACATATCCACAAAACTAACGTCTGGTGGTGTGGTGTGTAGCCATGGGCCATAGCCATATCCTAGACTAGACGACGACGACACTGTGCATTGGGCAAAAGTCGTTGACCAGAGAACGAGGTACTCGTAGCCAACAACGGAGGGATCGCGATCGACCTGACAGGTGACCCGACGAGCGCTTGGCATGCATGGCATTGGCAGGTCAACCCCCCTCCGGCACGAGACTTGAAGAAGCGCCACCCTACGCACGCACGGGGTCCGTCCCGGTTGACCGATCTCGCGGGCGCGCGCCAACGACCGACACGGCCGCATGGTTCCGTCGTCTCGACACGGCGGCTCGGATTTACGCCCCGGCCCCCCCGGCCGGATCGAGTCACGTGCCCCGGCGCCCGGTACGTTGAATTCCCCGGCCCGCGCGTCTGAACGCGCAGCAGCCAGCAGACTTGCGGGTATGTTCCCGCGGTCCGGTCCGCACCGCGCGCCGGACCTGCGACCATGTCCATACTCCGCAAGGCTAACCGATTTTCGTAGTGGGAGGGCGCGCGGCGCGCGCGCGTGCGCACGCGGCACGGGCGGCGCACGTGACCGTGAGGTGCGGGGCAGCAGTGCGCGCCGCCGGCCGCGGAGTCACGCAGGCGGCAGCGGGGTCCGTCTCGCACGGCGCGGAGCGGATCGGAGGAGGACCTGGACCCGCGTGACGCGACGAATTCCTCTCCTGCCCCGCGAGTCCGCGACGTGGAGGAACGGGCAAAAAAGGGGCGGCGACTGGGGTGGGGTGGCCGGTAAATTTTTAAAAAGGGCGAAGGTACGATGGATGGATGATTCCGCGTGAACGGAACGGCGTTCTCCGTCGTTGGCCTAGGCCCAGTGGGTGGCTAGTGCGGTGCGGGAAAAGAGGGGACGGGGACGGGGACGGGGACGGGGACGGCCCAAAACCACGTGGAATCCCGTGGGCCCCGTGGGGGTGGGAGGGGCGCACGCGACGCGAGTGATGTGGAGAGAGCCGTGGCCGTCACGGCCCCCACGTCGTCGTCGGCGCTCGCTCGTTTCCCTCGGCCCAGGCCAGCGCCAGTCAAATACGCCCGCCCACTGAGCCCGAGTCTTTCCTGAGATAACACAAAGTGCAGCGCAGCTGTATTTTAATTCCCTCCCCTTCAACCGGAGGGGTTTGGCTAATGGTCCACCGTGCAATCGCCCCCGGCTCGGCCGGCACGACCTGCGTGTCTACATTTTGGTGCTGGTTCTATGATAGTCCCATGCATCACCTAAATTGCTCAAAAGGAGTTCACTAGCATCTTGTTGGTGTGCGTGTACGCTTTCCATGCGTATATTCATAGGTATATACAATATCATGCAGCTCATCGACGTTTTTAAAGTGTGTTGCAATCCATGAGGATGCAAGTGGGGTTGTACCCAGATAACCCTAAAAATTAACGCTATTTGCGGGTTCACGAATAAACTAATTTAATTCCTAACAATCCATCGTCATAGGCTACAAGGCTTGCAAAATTTAATAGATGGAATATTCTATATGAAGGAAAGCACCCGATGGACTCTTTTCTAGAATCTTTAGTCTCTATTGTCAGTTTTTCCTTTCTACTACCATGTTTCCTAAAAAATGGCCTGTTGAGACCTCGCTATTAAGTAATTTGGTCACGCTGCATACATGGAAGGAAGGAAAGACATTTGGACCACATGGCAAAAGGAAAAAACATTTTGAGGGCGTCCAACCAAATGTATACTTAGTGTGCAATTGTACATACCATTATAGGCACCTTCGTATATGTAATAGCTTTAGGAAAAAAACGAAAGGCTCTTAGAAATATGTCCTTGGATATTAAGTAGACATGACCATCGAATAAGTTCCACCATGATACATTGGCTCAAGCAGGGGCGAATCTACAACTAGTTATTGGGGTCAGATGACCCCGACGACTTCCTCGCAAGTTCCATTACAACACTGAATTTCATAGAAGAGAAATGTGATATATAAGCATGAGTCTTATACGCTGACCCCGGTGACTAAAATCTCTGGCTTCGCTCCTGGGCTCAAGGTTGTACAAGCAGGAAACTAGGTAAGAAAAAAAATACTAACGGGCCATTTGTAAAGCCTTTTGGGCCTACTTTGTGACATGGGGAGCTACATGTTTTGTTCACATTTTCTTCTATGCATATTGACACGATACAATCGATCTGTTTTCACACATTATACCGTTATCATATCCTCTAAATATTTCACATAGCTTTACATGGCATTATTGATGCATTATCTATTAAATTGCTATATACAACGCCTTTATCATTGTAAATGCCTTAACACATTGTAGCCGGAAAATCTTATCTATAGCGCATCATTGTTCTACCCTCTAGACAATTCTATGTAGCTCTGCATGTGCTATGTAGAAAAGTACTAATACTAATACTGCAATTTGCAAACCTCTTTGCCCTATATCCATGACATTCATGAGGAACCACATGTTTGTTCGTATTTTCTCCCTTGCCTCTTGAAACAACA